CCTGGAGGGATCCACAGGGATCCACAGGGATTCTGGAGGGGTCCCGAACGGATTCCGATGGGAATCCGTAGGGAGCTTGTAGGATTCATACAGAATTCATACAGAATTCATGCAGAACTTGTACAGAATTCGTACAGAATTCATACAGAATTCGTACAGAATTCGTACAGAATTCGTTGTGTTGTGTTGTGTTGTCCCCCCCCCCCCTCCGACTCACCGGGGGGGCGGGACCGGCCTCCTCCACTGTGGCGGACGCGGGAAGTGAAGCCCCGGACCCCGGGGGGACCATGCCGGCCTGTACCTTGTTGTTGTTGTTGTTGTTGTTGTTGTTGTTGTTGTTGTTGTTGTTGTTATCGTCGTCGGGTTTGTCGTCGTCCGACTCGCGGCCCAGCCCGTGACCCACCAGCGACCCGCCCGCGACACCCGCGACCCACCTGCGACACACCCGCGACCCAGTCGCCACCTACCCTCGACTCACCCACGACCCACCAGCGACCCACCTTCGACCCACCCGCGACCCACCAGCGACCCACCCGCCACCCACCCGTGACCCACCAGCGACCCGCCCGCGACACCCGCGACCCACCTGCGACACACCCGCGACCCAGTCGCCACCTACCCTCCACTCTCCCGCGACCCACCAGCGACCCACCTGCGACCCACCCGCGACCCACCAGCGACCCACCCGCGACCAACCCGCGATCCACCCGCGACCCACCCATCGCCCGCCCCCTCTTTCTTATCCGCTAGTGCGGTTTGGTACATAATTCTTGAAACGCATCGTGTTTCGCCACCAGCCCATCGAACAATGCCCATGTGATTTGAGGTGATCAGGGAAGTGTAGGAGCAAAGAGGGGGGCAACCGTTAGCATTCGAAGGAGGGGAATGGATGAGGGAGGGAGGAGAAGGAGGAGGAATAGGCGGATGAGAAGGAGTAGAGCGAGCAGACGTGCCAGAGTCATCATGACTGCTTCGCGGAGTCTTTTCGGATATCGTTTTGGCGCTTATTGGACGTCTTCAGGGCCGTCGGGGGGGGGGACTCTTGGCGTTCCCGGAGGTCCTGGGGCGTCTTGGGTGCCTCGGCGGGCTTCTTGTGGCCTCTTGTGGGCGGCTTAGGGGCCTCTTAGGGTAGGGGCTTCTTGGGAGCCTCTTGAGGCACTTTTGAGCGCCTTGAACGCCCTCCTGGGGCCATCTCATATCGATCAACGAAGGGGGGGCGGTGTCACAGCACCGCCCATGTGTAGTCCCTCAAGTCGCCTCTTGGCGCCTTGGAGCGCTCTCGGAGCGCTTTTGGAGCGCTCTTAGGGCCGTCTTCGAGGCATTTTGGGCCCCTCTTGGGGCCCCTGGGGCCCGACTGGTGGGCACGTCTCGGGTGGAATTGCCGCTTCGGCGGGGAAGGCGTGTCTCTTTTCATGGCAATCAGATCATCGCGCATTCGCCTGCATGCCACTTGGGCACCCCAAGGGCGAGCCGACTCACGGGCCCGCTGGCGTCCAGATTGGTTGGGGCGTTTTAGGTTGTGTGGCCATTTTGGCGGGGCAGACGTGTGTCTTTTCAGACGGCCGCTGCAATCGCTACTTTCGACGCGTCCCCTCGTCAAATCTTGTGGCGTTGGCTTCATGTGTCGCCCGAGCCGTGGGTCTGGCGCCCTCGCGCCCGCCAGATCCACGGATCCAGAGTGAATGTTCGCGTGTGCCCGACTTGCCCGTCCAGATTAGTGGGGTTCTTCTTGGCCAGGGGCCGTTTCCGGAGGTAGATGTTTTTAGGTAGATGTTTTTGTTGTTAGAGCTCCCCAGTCACCAAGGAACTCATGCGCTTGAGCATGGATGCACATATGGGACCGCGTCAAACAGTTGTTTGTGTCGTGTGTGTGTATGTGTGTGTTTGTGTATGTGTGTGTGTGTGTGTGTGTGTGCGTGCGTGCGTGCGTGCGTGCGTGCGTGCGCGCGCGCGTGCGTGTGTGTGTGTGTGTGTGTGTGTGTGTGTCTGTGTGTTTTGTCCGCTTGTCGGTACGTGCTCCTTCTGGACGGAAGACCAACTTCGCTCGTTGAGCCGAGCACCGCCAGAAACAGACGAACAACACGGCACCAGAGTCCTGCTGGATAGATCCAGGGGGTGTCGAAGGGTTTTTTTTGTAGGGAGCTTTGGGCAGCCTCGTGGTCTGTTAGAACCGTCTCCAAGCTCTTCGCGAGATCCCGGGTCGGGAGGGAAACTGAAGGGTGAGGAGTGAGGGGCAGAAGGACAGGAGCAGGGGCGACTGGTATTTGATTGAATTCAACCGCAGCAGCAGATTGCACATTTGTGCAGTCAGCACTTCGGTTCATGCTCTGCGGCCCTCCCTGCTTGAGGCTGCCATCGACGCCTTCTGCGCCGAGGAGTGCACTCGCTCTGACTCTTCCCTTTCTCTTCCGCCCTCCCTCCCATCCTGCTCCCCTTCCTCCACATCAGAACTTCTCGACTAGCGTCCCCAAGGTAACGGCTAAGAGCGGGTGGATCACACAAGCTCAGCTCGCCAGTCTTCAAGAGAAAACGACAATGATGAAGGCTGCTTGCGAGTTGGCTCTTGTTGTCTTGGCGCTTGATCCTGGTGATTGCCTCCACCCTGCTTGGGCCTGAGGCGCACCTTTCGTGGGTCTGCTCCAAGTTCGAAGTGGCTCAGCTTCACCCTCTTCTTCCTTCAACCTGCTCCTTCCATCACCTTCTTCATCCTCCTTCTTCCACCTCCTCATTCCATCACCCTCTTCATTTCCCTTCTTCCACCTCCTCCTCCTCTTTCCTCCTTCCTTCACCCTCTTCCTTCCATTCTCCCAGCCCTTGCTCAGGGCGCCATCGGCGTGCCCTCCCCTGTCCGCCTTCGGCCCGCGAGCGGGCTTGCAGCGGCGCCGAGGCGTCCGGCGTGTATGCGCAGAGAGAGGGCGCTCGACAGTGGAAACCCATGCCGAGAAACACCCTGCTTGCCTCCAGGGTGCCCTGGGTTTCGATGGTTCTGCGATGGAAGGCGTGACGTTCCCACACCAAAAACCAATGGACGTCCTGGGGTCTCAGGGTTGGGTTTCTTGTGGAAGGTTTCTCGTCGTCGAGATTCTACTGTATGGGCGGTCCATGGGCGGTCCTGTAGGCCCCCCCCCCTCGCGGCCACTGGTGGGGACCGCGGTGGTGGGACGAGCGCCCGACCGCCGTCCGATCCAGGAGATCCCTTGGCAGGGGTTGCAGCGCCTGTCTTCTCGAGGCCCAGGTTTTCTCTCCCAGCTGATCTTCGCTCCACGTTGCACGTACCGGGCTGCCACGTGCTCTCCGAGTGGAGTACAGACCTGCGTAATAGATGCTTGCTGGATTGTGGCCAATTGTTGGCTAGCTCACATTGTTTTGAAAGTACGGGTCGCATGGACGAGACTAGCATGATGTCCAGAGAGCAAGATGATACGAGAGCGTTTTCTAAAACTCCCATGCGACAGCGGGCGTTACTGGGGGGCGGAGGGGGCGGGGGCTGGTAACGTCACGTTTCGCGCCGGTGCTGTCCGGGAATGTTTAGGAGTAGCGAAAGCCAACTCGCAGGTCAGCCCGAATCGTGACTTTACTTGGGGGGGCGCTGCTGGTATGGTAACGGCCGCTGTCGTGAAACGTAAACACCCTTTACGTAATCCCTTACGCTTCGCATGAGGGCGGTGGTTAGGTTCGGGCGGCACAGTCTATACATATCCACTGCCCCCTGGTCCTTCCTGGAGCCAGGAGCTGTGTATAATCCTTCCTGGCCAAGCCAAGAGGGCGTGGCGTATAAACCGCTGCTGGGTTCAGGATAGGCCTGGCCAGGAAGCAGTGGACATGTATAGATTTCGTCGCCCTACAGGCGAGGATGGGGGGACAGGGGGGAAGGGGTGAGGGGGGCTGATGGGTGGAGGAGGAGTCGAACCGGGGGATGGAGGAAGGGCAACGGAGTGGGGGCGAGCAGGGGCGGGGGAGCGCGAGGAGGGGGGAGGGGGGGAGGTGGGCAGAGAGGGGACGGCAAGGGGAAAGCAGGGGGGGGGGGGAGGGCCTGGATGTTCTCAAAACGCTGGGGGCGTTTTCTGCTTCCGTTTCCAAAAGGGTGACACGTTTGAGCTGTCTTTGGGGCACTGCTTTCCCGTTGCAGGACTGCCAGAGGTGCTCGCCTTGCTCGGTGTTTCTTCCCCTTCCCGCGCGGCGGCCCGTGGCCTGCCGACCGAAGACAGACGAGCAGACGAGCGGAGCGGGGGGCACCTCCCCCCGTCCTCCTCCGCCCCACCATCCCCTCCTCGTCCTACCCGTCCTCCCTCTCCTCGTCCTCCCTCTCTCGGGAGCGGAAAAGAGGGGGGTGATGACTAGGGGGGGGTGGATTTCATGGCGCGGGCCATGATTTTTCCTCAGATTTCATGGCGCCTCTTCTTATTTCATTACGTCCCAGGCCCCCCCGCTGGGCCGCGCACATGCCGCCGGTCATGATTTGCACCCCCCCCTCTTGGACACCCCCCTCTTGGCCGCTCCCGACTCTCCCCTTCCTTCCCCTCTCCATGTTCCTTTCAGCGCATGTTTTCTGCAGCTGCATGTCGCGTCAATGTCCGTTGAGTTGAGGCATCCATGTTGGGCAGGAGTCCGCTTCGAGGCTGGCGGCTCCATTCGGCCGATTTGGCCACCCCGTTGTCCCTCCCGTCATCCAACTGGCTCTCGTCTGTCGCTGGCTCGCTCTCTCCCGCTCCTCGTTCTCCCCCTTCTCGCCCACCCTCTCCCCGTCCTCCTCTCCCTGCCCGCTTTCTTCCAGAGGAGGAGGACGAGGACGAGGAGGAGGAGGAGGAGGAAGAGGAGGAGGAGGAGGAGGGCCTCCGCCTCCTTTTTGGTTGGGCGAATTTTAGTCGGCTTGTATTGCAGTGCTTCGACGATGAAAAAACCAGACGTGAAGTGCACTCCGTCAAGGGCGCGAGGGGCAGCACATGAAAGCTGTAAACAAGTGCAGGGGAATCCTCCTCCTCCTCCTCCTCGTGCGGCAGCGGCCAGGAACGCCTCGAGGGCCAGGACTGCTGGCAGTGCCCGCGCTGCCAGCGCCGCGTGTGCGCGCAGAAGCGGCTGTCGCCCTGGACCGGCGCTCCGCCCCAGCCGCGGCTCGGCGGCCTCGGTTCAGGGGCGGCGTTCGGCACCGGGGAAACGATAGGGGATAGGCCAGACGGGACTAGGACGAGGATGAATCCGTTCCAGAGCGTTCTGGAACGCTCTCAGAGCGGTCCGGAACGCTCTGAGAAGGCCGCGGCGCCCGAGACAACCTCCAGAGCCGCTGGAACTCAGAGACTTCCTATTTATCCTCCCCCTGATTTATCCTCGTCCCGTCTTCGTCTAAGACGGCACAGGGGGGTCTGCGTCGACCCACAATCGCCCATGCGTCACCGACATGGGCGCGATAGCCCCAACCTGCCCAGGAATGCGCATTTGCTGTCGAAAGCCTATCGCCGATCTATCGGCGATGCATCGCCGTTTTCAAGTCGATGTTTCCCCCTATATGCCAGTCCTGCCTCAGTTCAGTGGCAGCGTTAGGCAGGGGTCATTTCGATTCCTCCGACTCGATTCGATTCGATTTCGATAGCTTCCGATTCCGATTCGATTCGACTTCGATCTGGATTCCGATTTCTCAGTGGAGGCCTTATTAGCCCGCCGATTTCCGCCGACTCGACTTCTCTCGACTTGGCTGCCGATTTCTGCCGATGGCCGCGGCTCGGCGGCCTCAGCTCAGGGGCAGCGTCAGGAGGGCGTGGGCTCAGGGGGGGGGGGAAGCATCGACCCCCAATCGCCCATTGATGGCCGATGGGGGCCCGACACCCCGCCAGGGAACCCGCGGGGGCCTACCGCCGATCTGTCGGTGATGCATCGCCGATTCCAGGTCGGTGTTTCCCCCCCTGGAGCTTGTGCTGCCTATGGGTCCTCTTCATCAGCCCGACCCCATCCGCTCGGACCTCCTTTGGGAGGCCCCCCGCTCAGGAGCTCTCTCGGCAGGGAGGAGTCGATGGAGGGGAGGGGAGGCGGGGGCCTCGGAGGCGGGGAGGGCGGGGGGGTGCGGGGAAGTGCGGAGGAGCGCGCGGGCTGGGCCGGGTTCTTCGGGGGGCATCGGGGCGGGGAAGCACCGATCAGTCTAAAGCTGCTCATCAGTCGCGCTTTGGTGGCGCGAGATCCTCGGGCTTCCGAGCACGCACGACTTCTCTTGTGACCGGCAACGTGTCGCTTCGCTGCACAGCGCCACCTCTCGGGCATCAGGGGATCATAGATCCCCGGCCTGGGGATTCGCGCTCCGCCCCAAGCTTTGTCCCTGGAAAGCAGAGAAGGTTGAACAACCACGACGCCTTGAAATGCGAGTGCAGTGTGGACTTCCTTACGTACTGGTATTGCTCGCATCAGGACGCGTCGCCGTAAGAGCCTGTTTGTAATTCTGGGGCGATGACGGCCGTCACTGGGGTGGTGGAAGGGGGCCGATGACGTCACGTTTCGCGCCAGCGGCGTCTAGGAATGCTTCGGATTGACCGAGGATGGGTAAGAACACCATTGTTTTGTATAGATTTTGAAAAGGAACCTTGTGACAAGATCCAGCGCCTGTGGATGCCACAGGAAGCAATTATTTTTATACAGGATCTGCAAAAAGGAATCCTTACGGAAATTAGAGCGCCTCTTGAATCTACGAATCTTCCCGAGGAGGACGAGGAGGAGGAGGCGAAGGACGAGGAGGAGGAGGCGGAGAAGGCGGAGGAGGAGGAGTAAAAAGAGCAGGGGCAATCATGAGTTCTACGAATACAGACAGAAAATATAGCAATACGGGGCACACGAATAATAATACGACGAACACTACTAATACTACTATTGTGTAGGTTATGTATATGCATATGTCTTTGCAGTTGTATACTTGTGTTGGCGCAATTGCATATGCACATGCATATGCATATTCATATGTAATGTAGGTGTATGCTGCATGTATGCATATATGTGTATACGCGCATGTATAGGTTTGTGTGCATGAACATGTGCATGTATATGCATGTGCATACGTATCTGCATATGTATATGCACCGTGAATGTATATGTATGCGTGTATTTGCGTATGCATATGCAATGCACATGTGTATGTGTATATGTACATATAAATGTAGGTATATCTATATATATGCGCATGGTTGTGTATCTTCATATGTACACGTACATGTATATGCTAAGGTATATGTGCCATCATGCATGTTGTATGTAATGGTATACATATATATATATGTTCAGGATTGAGTGAATGTATGTATGTATGTGTGTATATATATATATATATACACACCCGGGGTCCAGGGCAGGGGGCAGTAAGGGCAACCCCCAGGCCTCCATACCAGTGGCAGGGATGTTCTTGCCTTCGAAGACGGGGCAGGAGGCCCCCCAAACTCCCACGATGGTACCGCTCCAAGACGCACAAGATGGCCCCAAGACGCGCCAAGAGTCTGCGCAAGACGCCTCCAAAAGCCCTCCAGAAAGCTGCCCACACATTCCAACCTCGTTGATTTATGTATTGTTGTTTCCAAGCCCTTCTTAGGATGCTGGGGTCCCTTATAGGACATGATGGTGGAACTCGGTGGGGAAAGGGGACGCCGCTGATCAGCCTCGGAGCCAGACTGGCAATCTCTTGGAGCCTTTTTGGGATGGTTATGGGCTTTCTTGGGGCTTTGCGAAGTCTTTGATGGGTCTCCCTTCGGGCTCTCTTTGGCGATTCTGGATATTTCTTGCAGCCTCATGCGCTCGTCGGCCGCGAAAAGTTTGGATTGCAAACGCAACTTAGCCACTCTATGTTTTGAGTGATTTGGGCCTCGTGGGAGTTTTCTGGCGATTTGGAACCGTTGTAGGGACGTCGTGGGGCCCTTTCGATGCATACTGGATGCAGTCTTGGGCCAATCTGGAACATCTCTCGGATGTCACTGTAAAGCGCGAGGGGGCATCTTGCAGCCTTTTTTTCTCAGTGCCGCCCGAATATGCCCCCTTACAGTACCCATTTCGCACCGAAATGGGTTTCACACTGATTGTTCGTAAAGAAGGGCTGGCTTGAAGCATCACTCCCCAACTGGAACACGAGACATCGTTTAATGGAACCCCCTCGGGGCGTTTTTAGGGGCCGACGGTGCCGTTTTGAACCCCCTCGTGGCCTTTCTTGGGGCTCCTTTGCGCTATCTTTTGGAAGGGCTTGCCTCGTCCGTGAAATTGTGTTGCGCGCGTTTTTGTTGCTGCTCGCTTGCCAGCCGAGTTTGCCGTGTCGGAGAAGTATGGCTCTGGGCTCCAATCCAACCATGCGCTACAGTTCTCTACGCTTGTACTTCCTTCGCTACAAGATCGTTTTCGACTTCCCCATTCCCTGACAAAGGGTCGCTCTTCAAACCTGGTTGCACACGGTTTCGGTTGTTCCCCCAAGGCTTCACCAGTGCTGCCGCCCTGGTTTCCTCGCATCCGCCGTAGCGTGCGCCCTTGTTCAACTGATGGTGTCGCCATGCTTCCAGCCACTCTGTCCGCTCGTGGTTCCTCGTGCCTTGTCCACACTCCCCTGTTGCGCCTCGTGCTCGTCGGCGCTGTGACTCGGCCTTCGGCCGATTTCTGAGCATTTCACCTGGGTCCTCTTTATCCGGCCTGTCTGGTCCTTCCGCGGCGCCGTCGGGCTTGCCGTTGGCCCTGTTTCTCCCGCCCGTCGCTCTCCGCGGAGTGGCCTCGTCTTTGACACTGCGTCGCCTCCACCACCTGCATTCAAGAGCTCAGCGGTCGGCTATGTCCGGCTCTCGCTGGGGCTTTCTTCTTTTCACGTTCCCACGCGGCTGGAATATTCGTTTTCGCATTGTCTCTGCTCGACCGTTCACCATTGGTTGTGACACATTGGCTTGTCGGATGAACAAATGGACGTGTGTGTGTGCGTGTATGATTATTGTGTCTGATTGAGTGTTGCTGCAGAGATGGTGCGGAATTGTGACCCTGGAGGAAGTTGCCGCTGCTCTTGTTGATCCACCTCAAGCGTTTCGGGTTCGACGCCGAGGCTGCTGGAGTTGACCAGATGGGGGCAGATGTATGGCGGATCGTAACAGCAGGGTATCCGACGTCGACGGCGACAACAACAATGATACTATATGCATTGTGTATGCCGAAGCCCCGGAAGTCGGAGCACACGACATAGAAGTGGCCAAAGGCCGGCCACCTTTCTTGCAGTGAAACACTGGCCGACTCTTCTTGGAAGAGCGCGCCACCTGGGGCCGGGACCCCCCTTTCCGCCTCCAACAACAATGATGACAACGCTGGTGGCTGCGGTGTTGAATATGGGGACGGTGGTCACGTTCATGAGTACGGCGCTTGCGAGTGCAAAGGGAAGGATGGTGAAAGCGAAGGATGGAGTGGCGTGCAGAGGAAGACATGAAAGCGGATGATGGGGAGGACGACGGTTCTGAACATGAATTTGCATATACATGTCATACTCATCATGTATGCGATGTTGCGGCGTGCGTGGCCACTTGGAGATTGTTGTCTGGCGCTCTATGGATGCAAAGACAGCAGTTGCGATCATGATGAGAAGGGCGTCGCCAGATGCATGATCAATTTTCGTTTCTTTGCGTTCATTGAGCAGAGTGATGTCACTGTAGGCTCTCAGGGCGACCGCAATGCCCAGTCGTGCGTCTCGGTTCGAATCTATTGATTAGGAGTGGCCTCGGAAGATGACAGCCATCTCTTTCGACAGGCGGCCAGTGGAACCGGGGTACAAATACCCATGCAGCAGCATGCTGAGAGAGGAAGCGGCAAACTGCTCTAATCAGGTTCCCCGCAGTAGACGGGACGGGGAGTGGAGGGAGGGTAAGCATATCGAAGACGCCTACGGCGAATCACCGCCGGCACTTGCCTTTTTGGAAGCGCCTGTGTGGCCGAACGTTGGGCTAGAGCTTGGCCAAGCTATCGGACCATGTGTTCCCCAGCCCTCTTTGAAACCCTCCGGGGAACACGTGAGGAAGAGGAAACTGATGAGAAGAAGGACAAGGGAGGAGGAGGAGGATGAGGAGGAGGAGAAGGAGGAGGACGAGAAGGGAGGAGGAGGAAGAGAGGGAGGAGGAGGAGGATGATGATGATGAGGAGGAGCAGGAGGAGGAGGAGGAGGAGGAGGAGGAGGAGCAAGAGGACGAGAAGTGGGGAGAAGGAGGAGGAGGAGGAGAGGAGGAGGAGGAGGAGGAGGAGGAGGAGGAGACGGAGGAGGAGGTGGAGGAGGAGGAGGAGGGGGAGGAGGAGGACGATGTGGGAGGAGGAGGAGGAGGAAGAGGAGGAGGAGCAGCAGGAGCAGCAGGAAGAGGAGGATGAGGAGGAGGAGGAAAAGAAGGAGGAGGAGGAGGAGTCGACCTCTTGGGAGCCTCTCGGGGCACTCTTGGGGTCTCCTGGGAGCTCCCTGGGAGCTTCCTGGGAGCCTCTTGGAGGTCTCTTAAACCTTCGGCCTCTTGGGGGCCTTTTTGGGGCTTGTTCGGGGCCTCTTTGGCCGTCTTAGGGCGTTCCTGGGCTGCCTGACGCCGTCGGGAGCCGTCTTGGGGGCCTCTCTGGATCGTTTGGGGGCACTCTTGGGGTGTTTCAGGGCCGTCTTGGAGGTCATCTTGGCCGTCATGGAGGCCTCTTGGGCCTTCTTGGGCCCCCCTCTGGGCCGTCGTTTCGGCTTCTTGGGCCGTCTGGGGCCATCTTGGAAGTTCTTGGGTATCTGGGGACGATCTTTGGTACCTCTTGGGCCGTCTTGGGCCGTCGGGAGGCAGAACAGAAGCAACTGCCAAACTGTTTCAAGAACCAACGGAACATTATGGATTTTGGCCCGCTGTTTTTCTTGTTTGAGGACCTCTTGGAGGCCTCTTGGGCCGTCTTGGAGACCTCTTGGGGGCCTCTTGGGCCGTCTTGGAGGCTTCTTGGGCGGACCAAATCTTGGACCCTTTTTGGCCGTTTTGTAGGCCATCTTGGACCATCTTGGGCGAACTTGGAGGCAATCTTGGGCCATCTGAACCGTCTTGGAGGCCTTCTTGGAGCCATCTTGGAAAAAAGGAACCGACGGAGTGCATTTTTTCGGCGGGCTTTCGGGTGGCCGGCGCGCCCAGGGGGGGTTCTTCTGGAATTACCCTGCGACGTACCCAACCCATTTGCATCAAGTGACAAGAAGAGTTTGCCCAAATTTGCCAGGACAATGATCGTGCAGGCGCCGTTATATGTGTTGCAAGCTACATGGGAAGCGCTCACGTGGCACGATTCACAGGACAACAACAGAAGGACGAGGAGCGAAGGCCCAGGCTTGAGGAGGACATGAGGGCCAGAACGAAAGTCAGGAGAAGGACGCGTGGGGGGCCGACCCGTCAGCGCGGCAGCAGCAGAGGGAAGGTGGCAGGGGGCAGAAGACGACGAAAGTGACGGGAGGAGACCAGAGAGTGTTGCTCGTGTCAGTAGTACGCTAAAGATGCAGCGCTGCCTGCGCCGTGTCGGCGCGTCGCTCGACAAACTGATTCAATCTGCGTGTCGTTTCTGCAAGAAGCGCGAGCGAGGCCTAGCTCGCCCGCCAGCTTCCCTGCTTCCTTCATGCATATTTTAGTGCGGGACCTAAACGCTCGAAGGCGCGCCGCCGGTCTGCGGGCGGCCCGCGACAGCGCCCCGCTGGACGCCCCAGCAGCCCTCGAACGTCGCGACGGTTTCGCATATCACAGCCTCCCAGGGATGGCGGGGTCTAATATGAGTCAGCGTGGGGCGTTACTCCGCTGGACCCCCCAACAGCTTTCGAAAGTGGCGACAGCTTCGCATATCGCAGCTCCCCAGGGACGGCGAGGTTTAATCTGAGTCTGCTTAGCCAATAAATATTCCACTGGAGCCCCCATCAACCCTCGAAAGTGGCGATAGTTTCGCAGATCGCAGCCCCCAGGGACGGCGAGGTCTAATATGAATTAGCTTGGGACGTCAGTGTATTAGACCCCCCAGCAGCCCTCGAATGTGGCGACAATGTGCAGATCGTAGCCCCCCAGGGATGGCGAGGTCTAATTTGAATCTGGGTAGGACGTCACTCCTGTAACCCCCCAGTAGTTCTCGAAAGGGGCGACGGTTTCGCAGATCGCAGCTCTCCAGGGGTGGCGAGATTTAGTTTGAGCCTGGGTCGGATGTCACTCCGCCGGACCCCCCAGCAGCCCTTGAAAGTGGCGCGAGTTTCGCAGATCGCAACCCCCCAGGGATGGCGAGGTTTAAATTGAATCAGCGTCGGACGTCACTCCGCCGGACCTCCAGGCAACCCTCGAAAGTGGCGCCAGTTTCGCAGATCACAGCCCCCCAGGGACGGCGAGGTCTAATCTGAAATTGCGTGGGACGTTATTCCGCTGGACCCCCAGCTACCTTCGAAAGTGGCGACGGTTTCGCAAATCGAAGCCCCCCAGGGATGGCGAGGTCTAGTTTGAATTTCAGTTGGGCGTCTTTCCGCTGGACCCCCCATCGACATTCGAAAGTGGCGGCTGTTTCGCAGATCGCAGCCCCCCAGGGATGGCCAGGTAGGAGGCAAACTCGCACGCATGACGGAGCGATGTGAGAGTCAGGAAAAAAGTGGGAAAAGGGGGCGGGAAGAAACGAGGGTGTGCGACCGCAGTGCTCTATTTGAAACGAGAACCCAAACAAGGAAGGTTTGGAAAACAAGCGACACCGACCCGTATAGGATTCAGCTCGCCGGGCATTCCTGTGGCAAGCCAACAGGGGGCGGCGGATAATGGCCTTCGGCCCATCCCACCTCCGTGCGTGGGTTTTGGGTATAAAGCCTATTGGAGGCCTTTTTTGATACCTCCTTGGTTTTTTGTTTTACTTCTTGGGGCCTCCTGTGGCCTCAGCTGGGCCTCTTGGGGGTCTTTTGGGGTCTCTCGGGGGCGTCTTGGGGGCCACTTGGGGCCTCTTCCCTCGTGGGGCCTCCTGGGGACCTCTTGGGGCGGAAGGCTCGGATTTTCGGTATGTGTTCCTTCTGGGCCGTCTGGGGCGCCTCTTGGGCCGTTTCTTGGGGAGCTATTTGGCCGTGTTGGGGCCCTCTTGGAGACCTCATGGGCCGTCGTGGGGTGGTCTTGGGGGCCTCTTGGGCCGTCTTGGAGCATCGGAAAGCCGAAAAGGCGAGAACGCCAAAATTTTTCAAGCACCATTGGAAAATCAATGATTTGTGCCTCTTGGGGCCCTCTTGGGAGGTCTCTTGGAGGCCTCTTGTGGCGTCTTGGAGGCCTCATGGGCTATCTTCAGGCCATCTTGTGCGTCTTGGAGAGATCGTTTGGCGACCCGGGGCTCTCTTGGACTCACGAGAGGCCTCGTGAGGTCGCCGTCGGGGGGCACAGCGTCCATAGGAGGCGCAAGAAACACTTCAGAACTCACGGGAGCCAGCCCGGGAAACCCCGGGGAGGCCTGGGGCACGATCGGTCCGGGTCCTTCCAGACGTATCATTTTCGCTGCAGCAGGAGCAGCAGCAGCAGCAGCAGCAGCAGCAGCAGCAGCAGCACAGCGTCTACCTGTCAGTGCTGCATGATCCTTGAGGCACTCCACTTCGTGCCAGAGGCACGGTGGCGGATTAGGGACTCGAGAGGAGAAGTAGGGAAAAGAGGTGGAGCTGGGAGGGGGGGGGAAGAAGATTAACGAGGTGGGGAGTGGGAGCCGGAGGGGAAGAGCAGGACGGGAACAAGGGGAGGGTAAGAGGAGGCAAATGGGGAGGGGAAGAGGGGATGGAATTGGAGGGATCGCGCCGCGCACAGGGTGAGGGCCAGCCGCGCACGTGGAAGATCGAGGGTGAGATCACAGTTCCGCTCTCGCGGCTGGATCTGCAGGACTCGCCTGCCCTCATTGGCAGGTGGCCCTTTTTGAAATTAAGTTTGTGCTCTGATCATGTCTCTCATCTCTCTCCCTCTCCCTCTCACTCTCTCACTCTCCCGCTCTCCCACTTCGCGCCGTCTTGGGCGTCCCCGGAAGCAGGGAGACGCTCCGAACGTCTTTTGGGCCGCAC